TGGTCTGGGAATTGTTCCCGCAGTCCTGCCTCTCAGGCTCTGTGCTGGTCACCATGGGAAACATTATGGATGGTCCCCTCCCTCGTAGATGCCTGAGCCTGAGACACGAATGTCCTGAATGTCCTTGTACAGTCAGTGACCTCATTTGAGGCTGAGTCTGCCCATTTTCTTCTACGTGGTACTCATATGTGACAGGCACTCACACACATTTGTGGGATGGATGGACGGATGGGTGCATGGACAGATAGATGGACAGATGGATGGATGGTGGATGGGAGGCTGAGGCAGGAGGACCACAAGTTCAAGCCCGCCCTGGGCAACTCAGTGAGACCCTGTCTCAAAATAAAAAGTTCTGAGGATATACCTGAGTGTGAAGAAGTTCCCGCGGGCCAATCCCCCATACTGAAACAAACAAACAAACAAACAAACACAATTACTGTTTATTGAGCTCCCACCACGCCTCTCTGTAGTGGGTCTTTATCTCCTCACTCACTCACTCCTTACAGCAACACAAGGGGCATCCTCACCCCACTGCAGAGACGACAAAGCTCAGACTTGGAGACAGGAGCTCCCAGGTCAGGGTGCAGGTAAGGAAAGCAGCCACAATTTGAAGACAGGAAGTTCTCTGCTATGGTGCTCCACCTCCTCTCTATGGTTATAATAATAATAATAATAGTAATAATAATAATAAATAAAAGTTCAGTGGTTCCCCAGAGCAGACTTGAATCAGTTGGAGAGAAATCACAAAGAGGAAGCCTCTGTCTTATCCAAAAAAGAGCTTCTAAAGGAGGGCTGACCCCAGATGGAACAAGTAGTGAGACTCTCGTGCCCTGAAGTATGCAGGACACGGTGGCAACCACTGCCTACCCAGGACCTGAGGGTCGGTTGTTTCCAGTCTCTCACAGTGAAAGGGCTGCTTTTGAGACTCCACAGAGCCCAGCACCCCTCCTATGAACACAGACTCAACAGTGATGCTCTCCTTACACCCCGTGATGGCAGAGCTGTGGGCTCTGAGGTGCAGCCTCGCCCACACCCCAGCTCTGTGACACTCCGGAGCGGCTGTGTGACAGCCCCGCCCCCTCGGGGTCCCCATCATCAGGTCAGGAGGCCCCCGGGGAGTTCCCACGCAGCAGGCTGAGTCAGGAGCTGCGTGGCTGTCACCATCCCCACAGCGGCAGCCGAGTGGCAGCTCTGGGGGAGTGATCGTCACCCTGCCCACCGCCTCCTGGGTGTCACGGTGCCACCTTCCCACCCGCCCAGCTGGGAGGCACCGGGGCCCATACTCTGGAGGCTCCTGAGAAGGGAGCCACTGCCTCTGGAGCCCCTGCTCCACGCCTGCTGTGTACCAGGCAGTGTTCAAGAAGCCAGCTGGCAGAACCGGGGCCTGACTTCCCATCCACGGGCAGCTTCCATCACCTCTTACGCCTCCGTTTCTCCACTAGCAAGGCCAAGTAATCACAGCCACAACCCCAGCCCCAGCTGGTTGAAGGAGAATTTGACAAGCAGGTGGACATACAGGAAATAGCAGTGCGGCCGGAGGCTGCTGTCACTCTCCCTAGCCAATCCTCTCAGGTGAAAGTGATCTTGGTTCAACAAATGAGGAAACTGAGGCTCAGGGAGGCAAAACCACTCACCTAGGATCCCACAGCTGCCGGGTGGTAGAGACTGGATTGGGATCCATACGGTTTGGCACAAGTCTAGGCCCCTTCTCCACGCCTGGGCTTTTTTGGGCCCAGCCTCTGCTCACCCCGAAGTCTGCCGATTCCCAAATGATACATACTGAGGGCCACAGTGCTGCACAGCTGGGGGTGGCAGGCACATGGTCCCTGGGATCCTTATCACCCCAGCCCGGGCTTCACCACCTGGCTGCAGGCAAGCCCCTCAGAGGAAGTCAGTGTGTCAGGCACTCTGGAAGCCAGTGAGCGTGGCTGGGCACAGGAGGCAGAGTCCCCAGGGATAGTGGCCTAGGGGGACAGAGGCCTTCGCAGGAGGGGAGAGGCAGGGAGAGCTGTGTGTAGAGATCCTTAGGAACCAGAGAGGACCCAAACCTTGGCCAGGGCCTTGGAGAGGGCCTATGGTTGACCTCTTTATGGCATAGGCTTACGGTTGAGGATTGCTCAGAGCTGCGGGTGAGGAAGGTGCCGGGCTGGCAGAGACGCGGTGCTGGCTGGGCATGGGGGTGAGAAAGAACCCAGGTGGCACTTAGTCTCCGAGGGACCGGAGAAAGTCTCCCTCCCTCATTTCCAGGCTCCCCGCATGCCCAGTGGGAAGCAGGAAGTGAACATGCAGGATTGCTCAGGGACGGAGTCAGACCATGGCCAGGGAGCAATGGGCACAGCGGGTGCCCACTTATAGTCTCCCCTGGCTAAGTCACCACAGACCCCAGACTTCCAATTATAGACAGATGGGGCTCTCTGAGGAGACAGCATGCAAGCTGGTGCTGAGCAGAGGGAGTTCCCAGGCAGGCAGGACAGTTCTCTGCAGATTCCCACACCCGCAAGGTTTGCTCCCCTGCAGTGCTATCACTCAGGCTCTTCCTCCTTCAACTACTCCGGAGAGGACTCAAGTGAAGGACCAGAGAGCTCAGGCCAGAAGTGCTTGTGTGCTGGGGTCCGATCTCCATGTTGCAGCCCCTGCGGTCCAGACACGCTGAGAACGTCATCGAAGGAAGGCTGTGTGGACTCGCTCCGTAGCCACGCGGGGCACCCTAGATGGCAGGGGTCTGGGTCTGGCCGTACTGGGATGCAGCTGGCTTCCCAAGGGCCTGGTTCCTAAGGCTTCCTCGGACGGGGACAGTGGTGGGCGGTCTGGGTCGGACTCTGCCCTTGCTCAGCTGTCTGACCTTGAGCAGGCTCCTCCTCCCCAAGGCAAGGTCAGGACGCCGTCTTTCCAGGTTACCGAGGCACTAAAGGAGCGCGTGTGTAAAAATACATCCTTTGGGATGTTCTCAAGGACACATTGAATCTGAAATTCTGACGCATGTGACCTCGTACAGTCACTGCAGCAAACGGCGTCAGTGGCCCCTCCTTAAAAAAATTAAACAGACTTCCTCACAGCCCAGCAACTCCTCTCTCCGGTGACACACGCGATGTGTTTGAAAAGGGAAATTCAAACACACACAAGTAGATCCCTGCTCTTGGCAGCCTTATTCAGAACAGCCAAGGGTAGAAGCAACAGTGTTCGCAGACAGATGAATGGATAAACAAAGGCAGCCTCTGCACGCAAGGAACATCACTCAGCTCCGGAAAGGGGTGAGGAGGACATATTACAACAGGCCTGAGCCTCAAAAGCAACTGGAGACCCAGCGTGAGGACACTACGTAGGATTCCCTCTATGAAATGTCCAAATAGGTAACTCCGCAGAGACAGGAAACAGACAGGGATCTCACCAGGAGTGCAAGGATGGGGAGAAGGGAGAGTAACTGTCCCCTGGCTGGGAAGTTTATTTTGAAGTTATGAAAATATTTGGGAACTGGATAGACGAGGTGGTGGTCACACACATTGTAAATACACCAAGTACCACCAAATCGTCTGCTTATTTATTTATTTATTTATTTTCTCTATAGTAGAGTTCACTGCAGAGTGAACGCTTGCTTGATTGGTCTTAGTTACTCAAAGACAAACAGTAAAGAAAGAGTTGTTCACAAATAAACAGTGCTAGAAAGGATGACATGACTAAGGCTAGACTGTGAAGTGACACGATCCTATTTTCCTTTGAGTTCAACTTCTGATTGTAATCCTCATCTACACCCATACCACCTGGAACGCGCCCACTCTCCTGACTGTAACCCTGTACTTTCCTTTGGAAAATTTACAGGCAACGCATGTATGCCAAATGAAAATACAGTTGTAATCGCTTCTCGGCCTTTTGGCTAAGATCAAGTGAAAATACAGTTGTAAACATGCCATAAAACTGATAATTGCTTTTAAAAGCTTAAAACCTATCTGAAATTCCTGTATTAAAACAGAAGAGGAGGGCCGGGAATTTAGCTCAGTGGTTCTGCTGCCTGCCTCGCAAGCACAAAGTCCCGAGTTTAATCCTTGGTACAGAGAGAGAAAGGAGAGAGAGAGAAAGAGAGAGAGAAAAAAAAAAGACCCAGAAAGAAAGGGTGCATAATTTTCAGTTTCCAGGACTGTGGTTAGCCAATTTATCAAAACACATAAAGTTATTTGTCATAACCTGAACTTGCCATAATTTAATTTCATTTTGTACACTATTTTTTAAATATATAACTTGTTTTTAAATTTAGTTTCATAAATTTAACTAAGAGCATCTAATGTTAAGAAAAGCTTATTGTTTTAGACATATAAAGCTTTAACTTTTTAATTATAGCTGACTTAAATTTTTTTTTTTTTTTTGGTACCGGGGACTGAATTCAGGTCCTTGTGCTTTCGAGGCAGGCAGCGGAACCACTGAGCTAAATCCCGGGCCCTGACTTAAATTTTTTTTTTTTTTTTGGTACCGGGGACTGAATTCAGGTCCTTGTGCTTTCGAGGCAGGCAGCGGAACCACTGAGCTAAATCCCGGGCCCTGACTTAAATTTTTTTTATAGCAAGGCACTTGGTACATTTTATGCATACGTAATGATGACACTCATCATTGGGAATTTGCACCTGTACATGGTACATCCCCCCTTCTCCCCATTACCCTCTCCATTTGGTACACTGTATTGTACATAATGTTGTACGCTGCATTGACATATAGCACAAATACATTGACTTTCACCTTGATGACACATTTATCCCACTTGAATGAGTAGTCAAATAAAAAAATGCAAAACTGGTAAGGAATTTTCATCTTCAGGCTCCTTGATTCCATAAATGATGGCATCATTTCACAATTCACAAAGTCTTTTCAGCATTTTACTCCAACTTGACCACCTCACTTCAGAAAAACAATGTCCCCTGAATCAGCATCCTTACTGTGTTTTAACATTTCAAAGTATTTATTGTTGACTCATTAGTGTGACCACAGAACAAGATTCCTGATAAGCATGAAAAATAAATATGGTCCGCTTCATGAGTTTGCCTGTCATCCTTGCACAGGGGCCGTGCTAATCTTCTCTGTATCTTTCCAATTTTAGTATTTGTGCTGCTGAAGCGAGCACAGCATCCTTACTCTTAAGGGACTCGTGGAATTGGTGATTTGATCCCTGGGACCCCATGAAATTCACAGCTTTGATGGTGATTTGCATAAAGTCTTTTTATTTTTGTTTTTTTTGTTTGTTTGTTTGTGTTTTTTTTGAGACAGGGTCTCCCTACATAGTTCAGGCTCCTCTTAACTCACTATTTGACCTCATGGGATTCTCCTGCCTCAGCCTCCTGAGTACTGGGATTATAGTTGTGCACCACCATGCCTAGTTCCCATAACATCCATTTTTAAAGCTTGAATTTCCTTGATGTATGATGAAGCACTGTTTTATTACATGTGACTTGCCAGCAACAATTGCATCAACTCTTATTAATTTATAAATACCTATTTTTTTTCTTTTGAAACAAGGTTTCACTCTGTAGTTCAGGCTGGCCTTGAATTCATTATGTAGCCCAGGCTGGCCTCCAATTTGCAGTGATCCTCCTGCCTCAGCCTCCTGAGTGCTGGGATTATAGGTGAACACCACCTCATCCCCAGCCATCACAGAGTACCACTATGGCTATGCCAGGTATGTTAACAAAGTTCAAAGAAAGTCACTGTTATTTTTATTGCTTCATACAAATGAAGAGATTTAGCTGTTGTTGTTGTTGTTTTTGTTGTTGTTTTGGAACCAGGGATCGAACTTTGGACCTTGTGCTTGTAAGGCAGGAGGCGGCACCACTGAGCTAAATCCCCACCCTTAGCTGTATTTTAATGGCATCAAAGAAGCCATTTCTTCAGTGATACTATATTCCTAATCTATAGCACTGCTAATTAAAAAGAGCAAGTTGAACCATATCTGTCATGTCAACACTTTCATCTATTGCCAAAGAATAAAGTTTGAAATTAGCAGCTTCACTCTTAAATCTTTTTCAGTAGATTTCTCCTCATTTCCCCAATTCACCTGGCTATAGTCTGGAGAGACAAACATTCAGAAAAATTAAGCAGGGTGCCTTATTTCTCTCAATAAAAAAAGCACTCATCCATTTTTCACTGAAGATTCTTCCTTCTTCCATTTTTCTTTTGGGGGAGGGGGTTCTGTTTTCTTTTGAGATGATGATGAAGCCATTCTGTGATTCAAGCATGCTGAGAGGCTGAAACAGGAGGATCACAAGTTTAAGACCAGCCGGGGCAAGTTAGCAAGACCCTGGGGCTCCAAGTCTTTGAGTCCCGCGCACCCGCCTCACCTGGAGGTCTCTGGTGGCCCTAGGAGTCTCTGGGTGACTGCACTGGCAGTCAAGGTTTGCTTACGTCACCATGGAAACCACGGCTGGGTGTGTGCACATGTCCATGTCACTTGTGGCACTTCCTGTCCCAGAATCTGAAAGAGGTACCCGTTAGCCCCTCCTCACCCACCGCCATTGCTTGCGTGATCATGGTGGGGGAGGCCTCCCAGAGAATCCCACCTTCCTCTGGACCACGCGGTGGGACAGAGCCCAAACTGTGCGTTTTACAATGGATGATATTGTGTGATGTGAATTGCATCTCATTAAATACAAAAGTCATCTGTATACAAAGTGATGTAGTCGCACTGCTGGCGTCAGGTGCTGGCTCCTCCAGTGACTTGCTGGTGACTGACCTTTCCGTCTACTGGGGGCCCATTCTGTCCTATTGTGAACGAAGAGACTAGAATATCTGCAGGTTGTGGGGAGGACAAAGAGCTGATGTACAGAAAGCAGGTAGCGTAGGGCTGGTATACAGAAGGCGCACGGTACCTGTGACTGGGTGTGGCAGGCGGCACAAGCACCCCTGTTCAGGGGGCTGAACTTCCCTGGTGTCTGGGCCTCTCTACTCCCCGTAGGAAATTCTAACACTCTCCTACCCATTAAGTGCTGGGCTTTTCACTGTGTATGGAAATAGCTCAAACACAGCACATGAACCTCCGTGAGAGGAAAACTAAGGACACAATGTTAGCTGTGGGCATGTGAAGGAAGGGGAGAGCAAGTCCACCTACACGTGATGGGCAGGAGACAGAGACTGGAGGAACTCCAGGGTCTGGGCTTTGGGGCCAGGATTTGCACCACCAGAAGGGCCAGGGGCTTTCATCGTAGCAAGGCTTCTTGGGAAAGGACAGATCTGAGAGGTGGCAAGAAGGAGTCAGCTCTCTGACCATTCCAGAGCAAGGGAGAGGTCAGTGCAAAGGCCCTGAGGTAGGAACCCCTCCAGAGAGAGAGAGAGAGAGACAGCCCGGTGTGCCAAGGCTTAAGTGTGGGCAAGGCCCATCACAGGGGCTTCCCACACTGACTGGTCCAGGGGTATGGGCAGGTATTGGAGGGAGCTCACAGGTTTGACTCTCACTGCTGTATGTACGAGAAGGGCAGGAAATGGAGAACAACCCGTACGTGCTTTTCAGAGGCATGAAAATGCACAGTAGGGTCACCACAGGCCCCGCTGGATTTGGGGGTGGACGTCAGAAGGACTAAGGTCCCTGCCAACCTGCCTCTGGGGCACCACACGGGTGGATCCACTCCCACAACCAGGGCTCTGACCCAGCAGGGTGGATGTGGCCTGTGGCTGGTGCTTAGGGTCTGAGCCTTGGTGGGAGGAGGGAGTTAGATGAGGAGGCCAGGGACACAGGTGAGCAAATCCCAAGGCCAAGACGCTGTGCCTAGGCCACATGGGAGGCAGGCATCAGGCTAGGCCGAGATCAGTTCCACCGCATTCAGCAGGTTTTGCCCTGAACAGCAGCAGAGGAGCAGGGAGAGTGCACCAGGGGAGGACATTTTGAAGCTCAGAGGCACCAGAATAGCTCTGTGTGCTGCTGGGAAGGCTGGGGAGAGCGCAAAGGCTGAGGGAGCAGAGAAACATGCGCAGTTCTTCATAGGAGGAGGGGGGCAAACAGTGTGGACCCTGCCTGGGCAGCCTGGACTCCTCAGGGGCGAGAGGAAGAGGGGGGCATCTCTGTCACCTGAGGCTTGGCTGGGGCACAGTGGCCAGCAGAGAAACGTGGGGAAATTTGAGGACAGGGGCAAAGTGTGAAACTGTCAAATTGGAGGAGAAAGGGAGCAGTTTGAGAGCCTCAGGGACTTGGCACATGGGCAGGCTGCTCCTCTTGTAAATAACACCATGGTGAACATCTTTACGTATGGAGTCTTTTCTACACTGAGCACTCTTCTCAAACTTGAGTCCTTGAACCAGAAGTAGAGTTCAGGGCCTGGCTTTTAAAGACTTGAAGCAGGAATTGAAAGCGAACTGTCAGGTGGCTTCCTGAGAACTGTTGCTCTGACCTCTGCTCCCTTAGCCATCTGTCTCAGCCCGGGCTGTGACCCCGAGGCAGTGTCACCCAAACGCTGTCAGGGTCACTACTCTGAAAATGCCTTCTGGATCTGATAGCAAACGGTAATGTCTCAGTTCTGTCCTTACCACTTTTCCATTTCTTTGGTTCATGTTGGAGAGGGCCAGCCTGCTCGCAGGCACATTAGCTGCTCTCCTTTGCTCTTGCTGGAGATTGTCTTTTGTGGCGAATCTACAGAGCATCGGAGGCAAATCTCAGGGAAATGACAGCCACAAACCCCATCACAGTGAATCTGGCTGTGGAGACAGATCTATGGCTTTTTATTTGCCTAACCGTTGCAAGAGCATAAAGCGAAAAAACTGTTAAGCTGGGTCAGGGCCATATGCAGCATTTTTCTTTTTTTGCATTTGTTTGTTGTTACTGTTTTGCTTTGCTTTCTGTTTTTTTATGAGCCGCATACTTAAAAGCTAAATGAAAGAAGGAGGATTCATCCAAGTCATTACCTCTTTCTTACATGCACACACCTCACAAGCTGATGGTGGTGAGGTATTACATACAATTATGTCTCTACAGAGCTTTGTGGGATGGCTTTTATTAATTATTAAATAATTTGATAAATAATTCACCACTTTCCTGCTGGTGATGCTATCATCAAACACTCATTGAGTAGAAGTCCAGCCAACCCATAGGCCTCCTGGCACTGAAATAAATCCCCACTGTGTTTGGATGTGTGCGTGCGTGTGTGTGTGTGTGTGTGTGTGTGTGTGTGTGGCATGCAGGCACATTCCTGGGTGTTTGCTAAGTATGGAAGCCTGTGTGTGAACAGTGCAATGTCCTCAGGTACATAAGCATACACAGAAGATTGGGTAAGAGAAGACTGCAAAGGATTTTCTACAGGGACTTCATATTTTGCATTTTGTTATAATTTCTTTGGTGTCTGGAGGTGAGAGCAGTAGTTCTTTCTTTGTTACCTGTATAAATCCTTCTTAATAAAAATGCCTAGATTTGGAATAAAGGAAATTAAATAAAAACCTGAGAACACTGGGGAGCAGTAAGGAGCAGGGCAGAAGGTGGGAAAAGAACAGGAACATCGTTTCCCCCAGGAAACTTTCCGCAGTCCCCAAGCTGGCCTTCTTAGCACCTGGCATATAGCACAGTAGCCCCTGGGCCACTTCACTGGAGAATACGGATAACAACGCAGGAGTGGGTTCTCTACAAAGAAAGACACTGAAGCCATCAGCAGCGCTCCCAGTCTGGATGCCTCGGTTGTTGGCTAATTAACGTTTCTCGTAACAAATCCCTGACTGTGACCACCGGGGGCTACTGTGAGATCTTTGAAGAGAAGCAGGTGCCACATTCCCAGGGCATCATGAGAGGCTGAAAGCAGACCAAACACAGGGCAGGCTCTGGTTCTGGCCTGGCCTGCACCACTGGCTGGCTGTGCAACATGTCACTGTGTTTCTGTGGGGCTCAGTTTCCCCCTGTCGAAAACAGGACACTATGAACTTGGAGGCAACAGCAAATGAGACAACACAGACCATAGTAGGAATTGAAAGGCCCATCCCAGGATGGCAACTGGCACAGAGAAGGGTCACGATAATAGCTTGCCTATTCCATGTTCATCCTCAGGGTCATAGACTGGTGTCTATCTGTAATGTCAATTACTGAGAAATAGCATCATCAACTGTAGATGTGTCTATTTATCTTTTTTTTAGTTCTGTCCATCTTTGCTTCATGCACTT